GTCTTAACTTCTTTGAAATTTTTGATGGATTATGATATTTTGATTTTTCTGCTATTTCATGAAGCACTTGAGTTCGCAGTAACCCTATTTAAATACTTCTTCCAAGTTTCTGAATGCTTTGCTTTATTTTATTGGCTTCTCATTATGCTTTGTTTTCTTTGCTTCTCAAATGGACAATATGGAGAAGCAGGATAATATTATACATTTAAGTGTTGAGTTTTTCACTGGTTAAAGTTCACTATCTTTTATAGTAGTCGCAGCAAAAAGTTTCCTTTGTAGTGCTGCAACTTTGGTTGTTTTTCTGAGATTGATATATGATAGAATCGCAGAGGTTAATGCCGAAGTTTGTTTTGCCTTCTGTTAGGCAGAAATTGTAATCTCTGGATCATTGCTCTTTTGGGGAAACTTCCCTGCTTCTGTTTCTAAATTTTATCAATAATATGCAAGCATTCCTATCACTTTTATTGTTTTCTTTTCTTTTATATGATAATCATGTTACTTTTATGCAAAGTTTATGTTTTGTAAACTAAATGTTATTATAATAACTTTTTATTAAGATGTGTTTTTTTTCTTCTTGTTTTTTAATAGTAACATTATTTTTTTCCCCTTTAAAAGTACTAATAACCAGATCCATATAAATAAATAAGTTCCCTCAATTAAACTGAAAAATAATTTTTTTAATGTAAGTCCATCATTTAACGCCATAAAAAATCAATAAACAAAGCATCCATGCATTAAGAACATGATTCTTTGTTGATTTCTTTCGTCTCAACCTGGAGTAAACATCATGCTTTGAATTAGAATAGAAAACAACTCAAAAGCAAGAATACATAGAAGTGACAACATTACATTACTTAGCATATATTCTTATCTAACAGATAAAATGAACATAGTCATTAATTTCTAATGTTCACACATGAAGCAATATCACACACCCCTTAAGTAAGAAAAGAATATATGCATGATCAATTCAAGAGGAAGTTAGTGAAACCATGAGTCACAACATGAACAATTTCACGCCTTTGTCGGGGCTTTGGAGAACAGGTTCTACAACCTATGATAATGCTCCTCACATTTCCAGTAATACTCATGAATTCAATGAAATTCTAGTGTTTTACAGATCTCGTCACTCTACTAGGGCCAATGTAAGTATATCATGATATTTTTGGCATAACCATTGTTTGATGATAACAAATTTGCATGTATGTATGTAATTTTGGTTCTTGTTAACAGGATGAGAGGAGTTTAGGTGTACAAGATCCATTACGGTTGTGGGAAGTTAGAAGAACTCCTACAGAACATCATAGAACACTAAAGTAAGGTCAAATTTCAAGGTTTCTTAAGTATTTAGCTATAGAGTCTGGTGTCAGATGTGTGTTAGTGTCAAACATCAACGCATACATGTGATTACAATCAATCATTTTTATTTTTTTAATTACTATCGGTGTTAATATAGCGAACGATGTTTGTGTTTGTATCAATAATTTAGACATGGTTTATTGGAAAAATATTTGCAGTTTTCCAGCACAACCTCATAGAAGACAGCAAACTTATGTTCACAATGAAGAAATGGGAAGAAGAGGTTTCAATCCAACGAGACTCGGACAATTTTTGCATCATTCACCTGTAAGATCAACATCAACGCATCAAACAAACACACAAGTCCCGCATGTGGTAGAAGATTCCAAATCAAATATTTTAAGCAAGTTACGGAAAGTAGTCTATAACCCTGCGCACACGCTTTTAGCTAGAAAAGTGAGCTTATATTATAGAGACAATGCTTCAAATGATTTGAAAGAGAGAGTGAAAGAAAAGAATGAAGATGGTATGAAATGTGCTATTTGCTTGGAAGAATTTGAGGCTAAAAAAGAAGTGATGCTTACTCCATGCAACCACATGTTTCATGAGGATTGTATTGTAACTTGGTTAACAAGCAAAGGTCAGTGTCCTGTTTGTAGGTTTGTGGTTTTTGAGGAAGTGGAGGAAAATCCGCCTCCTTTAATAGGAGTGAAATTGGCAATTGGGAACCCAATGGGATGATCTCTGGAGAGCTTTTATCAATTTTGAGGGTCATGGAAAAAGCTTTTCATTTAGACCGTATGAATTAATGTTTCAAAAATCGAATCGAATATTGAACTAATGAGACTTCTCTAGACCATTGTTCAACCGTCTTAAATGTTCAGCCCATGACGAAACCGAGATCCAGCTGAAGTAAATGTTGGTTCAAGGTTTATTCGTCCGATTCGGTTTGGTTTTAAAAATAGACATACTATTAATCTTGAGGGGTTTAGTTTGTGAGGGACAATGGTAATGAGACTGACAAGAAACCATGTTAATCAATAGTATTTCCTATAGTTTAGTATTTTGAATTTTGCAAACGTGCATCTAATGACCCATTGTTTGTTCTTTTATTCCTACTTGATTCATATAACGGCATAGAAATCTATATACATTGGTTTTTTGTTACTGAACTATACAACAGTTTGTAATCTGGATTCTGAAGTGAAAAATCCAAAATCATGCCCATTTTGTTTGAAATGTGATTTTATGAAAAACTTAAATGAAAGATTTCTAGTTTGTTTGTAGGCTGATACGTACAATAATTTTGATTTAAATTATTCAAATATGAATTGGTAACTTTTTTTTGTGTGTATATCTAAATATTAATTATTTTATATTTAATTCTCTCTCTTTCAACGCTTACCATGACAATGTTTGCAATACCATATTTATGTTTGGATCCACCGTTAACAATGTTTGCAACTATGGTCCCCTTATTTTGCATTTTTTTTGGGTTTTGATCCATTCATTTTAAAGTTTTGAGTTTGATTTTAGTCTCCTTTCCAATTTGAGACATTTATTTAATGATGTGGCGCCATTCAAGATGACGTGGCAATGCCAAGTCATTTTAAAATTAATTTGAGACTTTAATTATTGATTAAAATAATTAATTTATTAATATTATTTTCATTAATAAATAAATAAATTATTAGTTTTTTATTATTAATTAATCAAAATTTTATATGAAACACTTTGGGCCTAACCTTTTAGTTTTATGTCTTCGGTCCATTTTTTTAACACACAATTGATTTATTGTGTTTGTGTAAGATATATAAACACTAACAACATTTGTAACGAAAACAATGTGGGACTTTAGTGGGTTGGTGACTTTGTAAGCTAAATAACGGAAATTATCACTTCCTGCTTCTTTTTTCCTCCAATAATATTGTACAGAATACATATTTTCTATAATAGTTTTCAGCTAGAGTTCATTTATCGTATTGGAGAACTTGTATTGTTTCTTTATATTTTACTAAAGAAAATGATGTCTTTCTCCATTTATGCCTCCAACTATTTTTGTTACATTAGGCGACCCTCTGAGAATGGTGTTGGATAATTTCGTGAATGGACTTCCTCTACAAAATACAGCTAGAGAGCTAATAGAGAGTTTTACTACTCTTGCATCGTCTCTTCCTGCAAGGTTCAATTATTGTTTTTCAAAAATAAAAAGTTTCAATTGGAAAAGTAGTGCGTGACTTTATTTATGTGGAGCCTGTTGTGTGAGTAATAGTGAGTTTGTGACATTGACAATGCTTAAGCATATTTCAGAAAGAAATCTTAATTGAAAATTGGCTAACTTACTTTGTTTCCTTTATTTTAACTAAAACTTTGTAAAAGTGGAACATGCTAGACTTTTGAAGAGCATGGTTGGACATGACTTTATTTTCTTTGCTCTTGTTTATATGTGCTCATTTAAGCTTTCACTTCATTTACTTTCAATATTGAAAATCTGTTGATTGAATTTACAGGTTCTTACTGACATATTACCAAAAGAAACACTTTTATGGAAACTAAAGATGTTTAAATCAGCTTCAGATTATGCCACTTCACAGCTTTATGCTATCAAAGCTCAGACTTTGATATTTTGCAGGTTCATTCTCGTTAGCATTGTACATATTACATTAGTCATACTCTTTAACATTTTACTTCTTACATTAATCATAATATGGAATCCTATGCCTTTTCTTAAATTTTTGATGCTATCACTTAGCCGACATGCTATTAGAAAATAAATGGAAAGAAAGATTACTAAGTGCTAACAAACAATTTCTTTAAACTTCATTACTTCTAAACAATGGTCTGTATGACGGAACTGTTAAAGGGTATAGAAACAAAAACCATATGAGATTTATGTCAATTACACACCACAAGATATCATCTCAGAATGTAAATTAGTGCATCCCAATCTCCTTCACAGGTAGAGAAAAATCACATCGATCACAAAGGTATTAGGACATGTTACAATTACATCATTCAGCTTCCCAACTACATATAAATAATATATCTAAAAGGATACTACATATAATTGGAGGAAAAAATATGTATTATGTACAATATTAGTGGAGGAAAAAAGAAGCAGGAAGTGATAGTTTCTATTATATAGCTTACAAAGTCACCAACCCACTAAAATCCCACATTGTTTTCATTACAAATGTTGTTAGTGTTTATATAACTTACAAAAACACAACAAATTAGTTGTGTGTTAAAAAATGGATCAAAGACATGGAACTAAAAGGTTAGGTCCAAAGTGTTAAATTTTGATTAAGGGGACTAAAATCAAACTCAAAACTAAAAAAAATAAAAAAAATAAACCAAAATCTAAAATAGAAGAATCACAACCCAAACAAATATAAGATAGGAGACGTAGTTGCAATTAAACCTTTATTTATTTATTTATTTATTAATAAAAATAATATTAATAAATTAGTTATCCTAATTAATAATTAAAGTTTAAAATTAAATTCAAAACTAAAACTAAAATCATGATTTTTAAACTATAGTTGCAATTAGGAAAAAAAAAAACAATAGGCCCAAACAAGAAAACTAAAATCCTATAACTTGATTACAAGTAGGGTTTCATCGTTTCAGCCGCCGCAACACTTTACCCGCAACCTCCCAACTCATTCATTGTTTCATCTCGGAGCCGCCGCAACCTCCCAATGGTATGCACCGCTTTCTCCTCCTCCCCCTCCATCTTTTCCCCGCTTCTCAGATTTAGTTTTATTTTCATTTTTTCCAAATTTTGTGTTTTTATGAACTAAACTCAGGCTTCCGAGGCGAAATTGGCGAACCCTATGAGGGATATCAAGGTTCAGAAGCTTGTCCTCAACATCTCTGTTGGTGAGAGTGGAGATCGTCTCACCAGAGCTGCCAAGGTTTTCATTGCTTTCCTCGTTCAATTTTCTTTTTCGTTTTCGATTTATATTTCTTTTTTTTAAATGATTTTTATTTGTGTTGTAGGTGCTAGAACAACTCAGTGGACAAACCCCAGTGTTCTCCAAAGGTTAGTTTTCAGCAATTTTAATATTATGGCTGTAATGGGTATGGATCTAAAGGCTATTTTAATTCATAATTTTTGTTTATAAATTAATTTTATCACCATGGATGAGTTTCTATAATTTTTATTTGAAAACTTAATTTGAATGTTGATTGTTTTGGCTGTTTTAGTATTAATAATGTAATATCCAATTGTTTTGTTTTTTATAACAATGGGTAAGCCTTGATAGTAGGGTAGTAATGATATAAAGTTTGAACCTGTTACGAGGTAGGTAGGTTTGTTATGTTTATTGGTCTTTGAGAGGATTATATTGTTGAAAGTGTATGTTTACTTTTGATTGTATGAAAAATGGTTTTTATAAATATTTATGTATTTACAAAGAATTGATTTTGGTAACAATATGTTAGCTCATTGTGGTTTTGACAAGGCTTTTACTTCTGATAGAACTCTATTATTATGGTTCTATTATTATGACTTCTGTTTAATTAAACCTTCTTTTCTTTTTTAAATGGAGAGTATGGAATGCTTTTACTAGAATATATGGAGTTGTCTCATTTTTATTTTCTCCCTGGATTTTGTCAGCAAGGTACACTGTCCGATCCTTTGGTATTAGAAGAAATGAGAAGATTGCGTGCTACGTAACTGTTAGAGGCGACAAGGCAATGCAACTTTTGGAGAGTGGACTGAAGGTGAAGGAGTATGAACTTTTGAGGAGGAACTTCAGTGACACTGGATGCTTTGGCTTTGGAATTCAGGAACATATTGATCTCGGAATCAAGTAAGCTTATAAACAACCCTAGAATTTCATGATACTCCATTGAGGCAGTATATTTGATAATTTGACTGAAGTTATTTTAAGAGACTGCATTTCCTTAACTAATTACAATAATAGGTTTTCTATTTGAATTATTTACTTATTATCTCTCTTTGACACTTACTATCTACTTCAGATATGATCCATCTACTGGTATCTATGGTATGGACTTTTTTGTCGTTTTGGAGCGTCCTGGTTACCGTGTTGGTCGTCGCCGTAGATGCAAAGCCCGTGTCGGAATCCAACACCGCGTTACCAAGGATGATGCGATGAAATGGTTCCAAGTGAAGTATGAAGGAGTGATCCTTAACAAATCTCAGCAGATCTGAGTTATTTTGTGTTAGGTTACTGTTTTTGGCATCTGTAGTTTGTTGTCTTTAAGATACTACTGTTAAGTTCTTTGAAATACTTCTTCCAAGTTTCTGAATGCTTTTAGAGCGGGTTATGCTTTATTGGCTTCTTATTATGCTTTGTTTGTAAACAGGATAATATTATATATTTAAGTGTTAGTTTTTCACTGGTTAAAATTGCCGTAATTTTTCACGTTTATGAAAAAATTTAGTTTTGTAGCTTCTTCCAAATCACATGAAAATTGTTTGAGGTTTTAAATCCTAAACGAGACAGGTTTGTTGGATGGGCTGAGGAGTCAACGGCAATTAGTGAAGTTTGAGGTAAGTTTTATGACACAGCCCTGTAGTTTCTTTTGTATATTGCTCTGAGAGGGATACTAGTTTGCCTGTTGTTATTTGGTTGATACCTTCTGTTGCAGCCACAGTTGAAAATGCCCAACTACTCCCTTGATTCATTTTCAAAACAAACATTAATTATTTGATTCAAATAAAATCATAATAAATTATTGGTAAATTATTGTTCATTGTTTATGTTACTTACCACATTGACCTTGATCCTTGATTGGAGTGACAGCACCTTTTACTCTCCAATCTACAGATGATGGAATAGAAGTAACATCTTCATACTTAAATGATGTTGAAGTTAACCCAGTACTAGTAGACCTCTTTTTGTAACCATTACGGGAAGCCTTAAATTCGTCAACAGTCAAATCAGCTAGATGATTAACACTTAGTTTGTAAGGTTTGTTGTTGGCAGCATTGAATGATTCAATGAATTCAACATTGTCCTTGAATATAATGAAACGTTTGTCTTTCTCAGCATCATCTTTATATACTTTGCTATATTCTGTCATCCATTGCTCGTGTCTTTCTTCTAAGGATGGTGATGATGTGGATTGTTGCAGCTTTCGGGACATTACATTGGTGATACTGAGAGCAAGGACGAGGAACAGAACAGACATGCATTGTTTTTGGCTGTTGGAAACCATTTCTTAGAGATCGTTGTCGAATTCTGTTACAGGTTAGTTTTAAAGTATTTGTATTCTCTAATTTTTTAAAAACGTTTTTCTTTGTTTTAATCTTTGGAAGTAAATGTTAACTAGGTACATGATGAATTAGTGCTGGAAGTGGATCCCTCAGTGGTGGAAAATACTGCAATATTGTTGCACACTAGCATGGAGAATGCAGTATCACTTCTTGGTTTGTATTCCTTAAACAAATTTAATTATAATGAAGTGAAGTATATTGATATTATTGAGATGAATATAACTATAATGCAATATCACTTCTTGGTTTGTATTATAATTCTTGAAGCTGTTTTCATGGAGGAAGCTCTCTCGGTGATGTTGTCGACCATGCTGCGTAACCTCACCGACAAACTCTATGAGAAACACAAAATTGTTGTTGTCGAGGTTTTTTTCACTTGTATCTTTCATCGTGATTATTTCAAAAATTGCTGCTGTAGATTTTTGTTCACTTCTAAGTTTTCTACATGTTTATAACACCTTCACTAGCCTGGATTTTGTTTGCACTAGACAATTTCAGAACAGACAATGAACCATTTAAGGTAACATTTCAATTATTATTATACCTTATTGCCAAAAAGCCTCAGAAACCGAGATAGACACTTGCGATTAGTGATTAGGTATAACTTATTCGTTTTTTATATTATTATCTGTTTCGTCAATGTATCATTGTTCATTTTGTCTTTTCGGTGTCCATGCTTTGTATCGTGATGTGTCTACTTATCATTTGGTTTGAAGTGTTAGAGTTAGCATTCATATGGCATACTTTTGATTCATTTGTTCACTATGTAATTTGATACATGTGATAGATCAAAGCATACTTACCATGCTTAGTTTGGTTTCTCTGGAGGTGCGAAACTGTTCTTCATCCCGGCTTTAATTCAACTGTACGAATTGAGAAGAATAGATCAAAGGTCAGACACAGGCAAAAGAAGTTTAGGTATTGCCAAAAAGCCTCAGAAACCGAGATAGACACTTGCGATTAGCGATTAGGTATAACTTATTCATTTTTTATATTATTATCTGTTTCGTCAATGTATCAGTGTTCATTTTGTCTTTTCGGTGTCCATGCTTTGTATCGTGATGTGTCTACTTATCATTTGGTTTGAAGTGTTAGAGTTAGCATTCATATGGCATACTTTTGATTCATTTGTTAACTATGTAATTTGATGCATGTGATAGATCAAAGCATACTTACCATGCTTTGTTTGGTTTCTCTGCAGGTGCGAAACTGTTCTTCATCCCGGCTTTAATTCAACTGTACGAATTGAGAAGAATAGATCAAAGGTCAGACACAGGCAAAAGAAGTTTAATAACATCGCCCAAAACAATGTCGTGTACAAGTGCCATTTCTGTTCACATCAGAATATCAAGAGAGGTACCCCTAAGGGACATTTGAAAAAAATATGCCCGGCAAAAGATAAACCATCATTAGAATCAATGCCCGCTGCAAAACCAATTGTACACAAATCTTTAAAATTAGAGAAACAAATGGCAAGCAAAGATGAAGGTGGTGAAATACACACTGTTGGTTCAGAAGTTGTAGTTAAGGATGTCGCCCCTATGAAGGGTCTCGAAACTCCGTTTAGTACAAGTACACCAACATTGTTATAAGCAAAGAAGAGAAGTAGAACAATTTCGTGTCCAAGAACACGTTTGAAACTCCAAGCATGTCTGCAAGAGTAAAACTGAGGGGATTGTGAATCTGAAGGTAAATATTCAGTCTGCTTGTGGATTTCTGTTGATAATCTGAGAGTATTTGGTCTGCTCGGATTGCTTGAGTTTCTGTTGATAATCCGTGTTTGAGTGAAGTCAAATGCTTTATTTGATGACATTGCTAATGACATTTCGGTTGTGTTGCGTTTTGCAATAATTTTCTGAGAAAGCTATTAAAACACTATATGGAAAAGAAATAGTTGATTCGGTTATGCAAGTCAAGGTTTTTCTGAACCGGAAACAAGATCCTTTGAACTGTTTAATAGCCGATATCGAAAAGGTATTGTAAAATTTATTACTCCAGGTTTGATTATCAAATGGCAAATATGTTTGAAGTGTATTTAAGCATAATTTTATTTACTCATTAGACTCACTGCTCAACTTCATTTTGGTTTGTTCATGATTAATGTTGAATGAATTGTTGTAACACTTTTCTAAAATATTTGATGTTGCAGTTGTCAGCGTTGGCGCAACATGTTTCTTGCTCCAACAATTAGCTGGAATAAATGCTGTTGTTTATTGTTCAACTTCTGTCCGCAATGTTGGAATTTCTTTAGATGTTGATGTTGCAGTAAGTGCTCTGGTTGGCGCATCAAATGTGTTTGGTTAGTACTATTTTCCATTCTATAATGTATATGTTATTTTCTCAAACATTACATTTGGTGATGATGTAAGGTTATTTAACTTCAATTTGGGAGCTACATTCATGTGTGTTGATTCTGAAAACGTATAATTTTGATGTTTTAAATGTAAAATCTTCATTTTATGGTTTATGTTGTATAAAAAATGAGCCATGATTTTGTTTAAAATCTTCATGGCAGTGATGTTGTTTTCAGCTTTCAGCTTGGAGAATATGCTGCTGAAGTGATTCAACATAATGATTGTGAACTAAAGATTGATGATGTTACTGAACATCAACATGAATGTCAAGAGATACATTAGCCTGTTGTACTGCCTTCTGAGATAGTTTTGAAGGTATACATGTATATATAGTTTATGCATGATTTGAAGCTTTTTTTAGCTTGCAGTGGAATTGTTTGAATGATGGATGAAGCTATTATTGTTAATATGTGTAGGGTGCTGCGGAGGATATATGATGTTCCAAGACGAGATTGTTTTATATTTGATGGAATGCATTAGGACTTAGGAAAGAGATATTAATTTCTTATGTATATAATTCTTTGTTATTATCAATAAAAAGAAATTTGATTTTACCAAAGACCCACGTAAAAGAATTTTACAAATTTTCAATAGATTAAGTGTTTGGTGCACCTTTATTTTGAACTGGAATGTTATATTTCTTTGGAAAATGCCGGCCACTGCTGAGAAATGCCAGTCCTGCGATGGAGTGATCGATTTGGTGATGACAATGTTGTTGAACCAACGCCAAAGGTTTGTTTCTCAATCTGATTTTGAACAATACTTATTTGGTGATGACAATGTTGTTGAACCAACGCCAAAGGTTTGTTTCTCAATCTGATTTTGAACAATACTTAGATAAATTGGAAATCCTGAAATATAGATAAATTGGATATTATGATGACAATAGTGATTAAGTGAAGAAAAATGATTCATGAATTGGCAAACTAATCTTAAAGTTCAGAATGAGTATGATTGAAAGCAAGAACATCATGATTACAATAGTACCAAACTTATTTTCTAGGTGGTATGAGACCGGCAAATAGAAGGGAAAAATATTTGCAGTTTTCCAGCACAACCTCATAGAAGACAACAAACTTATGTTCACAATGAAGAAATGGGAAGAAGAGGTTTCAATCCAACGAGACTCGGACAATTTTTGCATCATTCACCTGTAAGATCAACATCAACGCATCAAACAAACACACAAGTCCCGCATGTGGTAGAAGATTCCAAATCAAATATTTTAATCAAATATTTTTGTGAAACACTGAATGGTAAAGTATAACTGACAAGGAAAACCGAATTAGTCACTTTCCTTCAGAATAAGTGTGTATTTACAAATACTTTGTTAGACAATTTGTTACTACCATAGGTTCCATCATCTTCTCTCCTCCAATAACGCCGCAGCAATAGATCTCTTCGTTTTATTCCCCTGTAAAAAACATGATATGAAACTAATAAAATTATTACCGGAAAAAGACCAGTAGGTACTGCCTCAGAACACTAGGTGATGGACTAATGATGATGCTCTCCTTTTGTTTTATGCAAATGATGATGGACTAATGGCTCTCTTAGATGGAATGGGAGGACACCATTTGCCAATGGTTTTCCAAGATGGAGGATAAGAAGACTGTAAGGTTTATTAGGATTATTTTCATTTCTTCCGAGCTTTGGTTTAGAGTGAAAAGGTGGGCATAGGTTCAACTTCCCTACTAACATTTGCTGTTAGAGAAATTTATCAATTATTATCATTATAAATCGGAATAATTTTAATTGTGCTAAATGTCGAATAATATTAATTTATCAATTATTTATTGTTTTAAATATTGAATAATATTAATTTAAATAAAGTTTTATGTAATATAATTTGTGTATTTACTTATATAAAAAAAAATGCATTGTTGATTCAAATTTTTTTATATAGGAAATAATATACTATTGATTGATTTATTTAAAATACTAAAATAATTATACCATGAACATGAAGTTATTGATCAAAATATTGAATAATAATGACAATAAATTTACTATTGGTTCTAATGTTTTTGTAAATAATGTCAAAAATATTAATTTATTATGTCTTTTAAAAAAAATAACTTTTTTGAATGAACAATTAAAATTTTTTAATATCATTTTTGTTTTGTTTTGGAAAAAATACGCGTAGTATACCAGTACCCAAACACCCTAATTTATGATTCGTACAATCCAACTGAGAAAACATACACTTGAACAAAATATACATTGTAAAAGTGGTGGAATAGAGAGTATCCTGGTGAACAATTTACAGTCAAGTATATATATATATCTTACGTATATGATTCGTGCAGTCCATGCTAAGGCTATTGATAATTTGCATTGTACACTAAAGGCACACTCTAAAATCCATGGTGTTATGGTTGGATATATTAAGATGTTGTGATACAAAATCATGCATAAATATTGCTCTAAAAAATAAAAAGTCTAAAATTCTAATTATTATGTATTTCAATCTTTTCACTGTTATGTTTAAAATCTTATTTAAATACTTTATAAAATTACACGTCGTGCATTTTAATAATTTCATTTGTTTTTGGTTTATCTATTGATTAATATTTTTTGTTTAATAT